AGAGGAAAAAGGCCACGAGAGAAGGAAGGAAGTTGGTCGGCGGATGGCTCATCTTCGTTACCTCAGCGGCTTGTCCGTATTGTGGTTATAGCCCTTATCACATGGTGATAAGCTCGTAAAAAAAGAGTCTCTCTCATGTATTGAGCTTTTACTCTGTGCAGCCTCCACTGTTATGGGAGTTTAACACACATCATTTCATTCAGTCCGGACTCAGAGAGGTTAAGTGACTTTCCCAAAGATATAATAAGTAAGTGTGTGGGTGTGCGAGCACGTTACCATTGAATGGCAGTCAGGTTTCAAAACCAGTTCTCCCCGACTTCAAAGCCAAAACCTTACCCATTATGCCACACAGTCTCTCAGTTTCAAAGCAGGTACTTTATAAGAATTTGTCAATTAAGAAACTGTGGTCAAGAAAAGAAAATTTACCTAAGTCACCCAGTTTGGGAATTAAACAGAGACTATTCCCTGGGAGCCAAAGAGAGGGACATACATTGGACATATGGTCACAGATTGAAGTTTTCCGTTTTCTCTCCCTATAATAGCCCTGGCAGACAGCTAATAAGGGAAACATATTGCAGAAGGAATCTTCTCTTCTCTCAAATCACATGGTACAGATTTCTGGTAGCAGCAGAGTTTGCTGAAAACAAATAATAATCTGACAATAGGTAAATTCTGCCCCTCTCATCCCAGTGGGATAAATACACCCAGGGATTCAGGAGTTTATCCTGTTGAGAACTGAGCCTATTGAAGGAAAAACGGCAGAGTGGGGGCATGAAAACAGTGACTGCCTTCTTCGGAAACATGTGAGTTCATCAGATACCACAACCCTCCCTCCATGCTCAGATTGTTCACTTGATGGAATCACTTGAGATTGTTTTGGAAAGATAGATGATCATCCCTACCATCTGTATGAGGGTAGACAGGCCACTATTATATTTTTATAAAACTTCCGACAAGAAAATATCCAAGCTAGCCTAGGCAAAGGAAATTACCTTTGAACGTAAACAATGGGAAAACCTTTCCTGACAACAGAAAAACTCCAGGCCCCTACAATCCTTTTGCCCCTCTGTTTTCTTTAATTTAGATCAAGGTAAAAAGACGGGAAGCACAACTCCTCCGAGTGGATAGAATCCGTAGCACCTTTTAATGAAGCTGTCTAACCAGCATTGAGTTCAGACATTTCGACCTCTTTGGTATTCCTTGCCAAGGGAAGTCCAGAACAGGCAGCTGGTTTTGCTAGATTCTGTTGGAGCTCCATGCTAACTCTTCTGCTGAGACATTAGCAGGCATCATAAGAACACCTCTCCTTGACTATTCTGTTCTCCTCTTGGAAATTTCTTCTTTGAACCAGTGCCCTGTAAGCGTTTGTGTAGTGTTTAGCAAGTCATCTAAAAACCGATTCTAAAGCATCAAAGGTTGTGTCTAATTTACTTGCAAAAAGTGGATTTGAACATATTCTAAGTTTTTATTTTAAAATAAAATATTATTTATTTTAAAATAGCACTCTCAAAAAAATAATAAAATAAAATAAAATAAAATAGCACGCTCTCGGGGCGCCTGGGTGGCTCAGTTGGTTAAGTGTCTGCCTTCGGCTCCAGTCATGATCCCGGAGTCCTGGGATCAAGTCCTGCATCGGGCTCCCTGCTCCTTGGGGAGACTGTTTCTCCCTCTCCCTCTACCTGCCGCTCCCCCTGCTTGTGCTCTCTCTCTCTCTCTATCAAATAAATAAATAAAATCTTTAAAAAAATAAAAAATAAAATAGCACTCTCTCTCAAAAAACTTAAACTAAGTTACCCTATAACCCAGCAATTCCACTCAGAGGTACATACCCGAGAGCAGCGAAAACATATGCTCACCCAAAAACTTGTGCACAAATAGTCATAGCAGTATTATTTGCAAAAGCCCCGGAGTGGACACAGCCCAAATGTCCATAACAGATGAATGGATAAACAAAATGTGATATGTCCATACAATAGACTATTATTCAGTAATAAAAAAAGAATAGCGTACTGATAAATGCTCTGCGTGAATGAACCTTGAAAACATTATGCTAAGTGAAACAAGCCGGACACAAAAGAGAATTGGCAAATCTATAGAGCTAGATAGTAGATTAGTGGTTGCCTGGGTCTGGAGGGGATGGGAGTGACAGCTGATGGGTCCAGGCTTTCTTTTTAGGGTGATACATATGTTCCAGAATTAAACAGCGGTGTGGTGATGGTTGCACAATCTGTGAATATATTAAAAAGCTACTGAAATGTGCACTTTCAAAAGGGTAAGTTTTATGGTAGGTGAATAATATTTCCATTTTTAAATAGTTTGGGAAGAAAAGAAAAAACAGTATCACCCACATCATAGAGATTTGCATGGACCATACAGTCTGTGAGCCACAAGGAAGCACAGCCCATGCTTGGGATTTGTATCATCCAACCTCATCCCTCAGTGAGACAATGTAGCACTGATGTTACGAACACAATCTCTGAAGCCAGATTGCTTGGGTTCAAATTCTGGAACCTGCTACTTGCCAGCTATGTGAGCAGAGTACTTAACTTCCTTGTACTTCAGCTCCCTTGATTGCAAGATGAAGATTCTAATCGGAACACACTGGCGCTGTTACCGTGACAGTTAAGTTAGCTAATACGTGAATAGTGTAGTTTTGTCAATCCCCGTCATCTCGAATGTCACCATGGACACAGTGTAGTGACCTATTTTCTAGAGTGCTTGCAACCTCGATTATACAATCAGCATCTGTTTCTTGATCACACGTAATTGATGATACAGATTTAATTTTATTTAGGAATCACATAATAGGGGCACCTGGGTGGCTCAGTCGTTAAGCGTCTGCCTTCGGCTCAGGTCATGATCTCAGGGTCCTGGGATCGAGCCCCGCATCGGGCTCCCTGCTCCGCGGGAAGCCTGCTTCTCCCTCCCCCACTCCCCTTGCTTGTGTTCCCTCTCTCGCTGTGTCTCTCTCTGTCAAATAAATAAATAAATAAAATCTTTAAAAAAAAAGAATCACATAATAAATAAATTGAATAATTAAATAATAATCTGATAAAGTATTTCCTTTATTTAATTTATGAGCCATGCAACGCCGTTACAGATTATTTGAAAGCAGGAACCTACATCCATCCTTCATCCTTTCCACTTGTTTTACATTCCCCAGCATCCAGCCCAGCACTGGCTCATGGTCAGCACCTCATAGGTACTGGCTAGCTGTTTCCCCAGGGTCTGGGTCACCGGCTAGCTTGTGCCAGGACTACTTATGGTCCCACCACGGACCTCGGAAAGAATGCCAGTCTGATTGTGGGATGAATTACAGGAATAATAACTAATGCAGCCACGTGTTGAGAATTGTGACCCCCAGGTACTAAAGTTGAAGTTTTTACATTGTTCTGGGTTCAAAGAGCTGCTTGAAGGTGCCTAGAGACTGTGGATCCTCAAACTGGCTACATTAGTTATTATTTGGGAGCTGAAGTTTCTTCAGTGTCACCAAGGCCCACAGCTGGGAACAATAATGTAACCTGGACAGTAACAAGCCCTGTATTGGGCAAAAGTCTTCCAAGAGAAAAGTCTAAGCAAGACCGTGAACCTCGCATGCATGTGCGCACACAGCTGTCCCTCATTGATGGGTGGTCCGGGAGACTCAACTTAAAACAGCTGTCCTTCCTTCAGTCTCTTGACCAAGATACGCTTTAACCATCAAGACAGGCTTTAAAGGAAAGGTGACTGCTTCCTAAAAGACAAACTCATGGGTTTGCATTCCAAGAGACTTCAGTGGTTTCCTAACTCTGTTTTCTTCATTAGGGTAGTGTGCTTGTTAATCTTTTTCTCCCTGCTCATTTTATTATCAAAATCAACTCAGTTGCTATTTCCTGTTTATTGTAGAACATGGGTTCTGAGGTACTTGGGAAATACCACGATCAGGTATCTTGTGATAGCTCTTCAACATCTTGGTGAGTCCTAAGACTGGCGGAGGTGGGGGGGTCTTCCCCAGCCCCTTTCTACTCCAAAAATGGCCCCAAATGCCCCCACTCCTAAGAGCAGACAGCTATTCAGAAATTATCTTCAGGGTTAAATCCAGGACCACCAGATGTATGCATTTAGAATTTTTTTCTTCATATTATTTTGGGATGCGTTGGAGATACTCTTGCTTACCTCTGTGTCCTGGACTTTGGATTCTCTATGGGTGGAAATTGCCACAGGGCATAGAGACTGACTAGGGTGTGCATGATTGTGGGGGTGTGGGAGGTACTGACTTAGAGAAAACTGTGTCAGTGAGGAGATGGTCCCAGGATGTGTTCTGTGATCCTCATGGAAAACTCTGTAAGAGATCATGAAGGGATTTTTTTTTCTCTCTCTCTACTACCACAGATGTGGTGCTTCTTCAGTTTCGTGGTCTAATTAGCAATAAGTAATTGATGCTCAACCACCTTGGTGGGAATTGGGAGAGAAGAAACTGGAGAACAAAATGGTTGTCGAGCCCCGCTCCCCACGTCTCTGGCCCTGGAAGAGTTGGGATGGGATAATGTCCCAAATTTTCCCTGGCTTCCTGCTGCTCCCTGTGAACCAGTGTTCCTGCTTCCCGTATGGTGGCTTTGGTGCAAGTCCTACTCATTCAAGTCTATAATCAAGTTCTGAAGGGGAAAAACGTGGCTTTTCTAGTTGTCTCTATTTGCTGTCATGTCAAGCCAGGAGCACTGGAGGACCAGTGCTACTCAGGGAAAGATCCTTTTGCCTAGTAACCGAGAGCATATTTGGTATGCTAGCCTTCTCCTCCTTGTTTATTTTCAGGGTAGTGATAAAAGCATGGAAAAAACATCAGGGAAAATCAGTAAATTTCAGTAATATTTCAATACATCTGCAAAGGGCAAACAGTTTAGAGTTTCTCCTGTCCCGTCTGAAGTTGGAAACTCTCACCACAGTGGGAAGCACAGCTATTTTGACTTGGCAAACCAAACCAAACAGCACGCACCTGCAACTGTACGTCTCTGACGTGAATAGCTGTGGCCAGAGGGTCAGTCTGTTCTGTTTTTCATCCAGAAACCACATTCTGCAAATGGAGAGAAAACCACTGTTGGATTAAAGGAAATCCTTGCCATGGAGACTAAACATACAACTTTAATTAACTCATCATTTTCTAATTAGCATCCCCAGAGCCCTGTGCATGGGCAGCTTATGTTGCAGAATGTGCCATCAAATTTTTCCAAACAGTTTCATAAAATAAAGTTTTGTTTTTATAAACATTTATTTCAGAAAGTTTGGAAAGTATAGGACAAATTTAAAAAGAGCTGCAATATCCAAAACTCATCACTCATATCAAGTCATTCAATCTTTGGTGTATTTCTTTTCAGTCTTTATATATGTTTTACATTTTGTATTTTATACATAGTGGAGACTATATCATCTATAGAAGTTCTGGCTTTTTTATTTAATATTTTATATTCAGCATTTTATCCTTCAGTACAAACTTCACAAAAATCACTGTCAGTATCTGCATATTGCACCGAGTACAGGTGTGATAATTTGCTTAATTATTCCATTATTGTGGAGTTATTGCAAATTTTCCAAAATTATCTCAAAATTTTGCTTTCATAAATAATGCTGCCGTGAATTCATTGTGCATACAGCTTTGATATCTGTATTAAGAATTATTTCCTTAGGAAGGATTCCCAGAAGGAAATTCCAATGTGGGAACTCATATTAGCTTCTGATGCAAAATGCCAAATTGATTTCTAAAATTTTCACTGCTATCTGGAATGAGGTAGTTCTTTAATTAATAAATAACCCAATGACTTTCATCTAATAGGATAGGCAAAACTATAATTGAAATGTTGATTTACTTTGCATTCCTTTGATTTTTTTCATCCTTTTTTACCAGTTGCAATCCAGCTTTGTAAATGATCTTTTAGTTCTTTGCTTATTTTTATTTTAGGATCTGTTTTCTTATCAATTTATATGAGCTCTTTTTATTTACATAAAAGATCAACCTTTGGTTCAACATGTTTGCTGCAAATAATTTTTCTACTTTATTGCTTTTCTGTCCATTTTAGTTATGTTTTGAGATATAGAAATGTGATTTTATAGTAATCATATTATTGATCTTTTCCTTGGTGATTTTTTTTTCTACTGATCAAATGCTTAGAAACTTCTTACCCTCTAGAAACTTTATAGATATTCATCTCTATTTTCTTTTAGATTTTCTACAATTTGAAAATTTTCATCTCTTTATTCTATCTGAAATTTATTTTAATGAATCATGGGCAGTACAAATATCTAAACTAGATCTCACTTAACCCATCCTACACATATCTAACAAATTCCATATTACTTGTCAATTTAATACATCCCTTTTACTCTGGATGCACCCATTGTCCTTATGGAGCCGGTGCTCCATCAAGGTTTTTAACCCCACTTTCTACTTTGTTTTGTTAATGTGCTTGTAAATTCTTTTAAATGCTATGTTCTATACTTACATAATTTTGTAATATATTTCAGACTCTGGTGGGGTAAGGTTTTAGCTTTGTCAAAAATTTCTTAACTGTTATTGCTGTTGCTATGCCAGGTAAACTTAGGAATTATTTTAAGTTCCTAAAATTCCCGATTTTTATTATTATTTTAATTATTTTTTAAATTATGACCTCATTCAACTGAAGACTTTCATGTGGATTAATTTCCTCATCAAAAAACATGGCAGGGCACAGCACATACTCATTTTTTCATTAACATTATCACCTTGTATTACTTAGTGTTTTTATTTTATTTTTTTTTAAAGATTTTATTTATTTATCTGAGACAGAGAGAATGAGAGAGAGAGAGCACATGAGAGGGGAGAGGGTCAGAGGGAGAAGCAGGCTCCTTGCTGAGCAGGGAGCCCGATGCGGAACTCGATCCCGGGACTCCAGGATCATGACCTGAGCCGAAGGCAGTCGCTTAACCGACTGAGCCACCCAGGCGCCCCATTCAGCTTTTTTAAATTTTTTAATTTTATTATTATTATTTTTAAGATTTTATTTATTTATCTGATATCTTTCTATAGAGAGAATGAGAGAGAGAGAGCACATGAGAGGGGGGAGGGTCAGAGGGAGAAGCAGGCTCCTTGCTGAGCAGGGAGCCCGATGCGGGACTCGATCCCGGATCTCCAGGATCATGACCTGAGCCGAAGGCAGTCGCCTAACCGACTGAGCCACCCAGGCGCCCCTACTTAGTGTTTTTAAATACATAGGTGCATGACTATGTATTCTCATTTTTAAAAGTGGAAAGAAATGGGAAAAACTTCATGCTGGTAAATTCCACTCTGAAAGGTTACTTGGGTCAATTAAAAAATTTTACTATGATAAAAAAAGTGATGCCAGAATAAATCTGTGAAGATATCTTTGTGCTTATTTGCAAGTATTTCTCTGGGATAAGCTCCTAGAATGTGGGTGAAAGAGAATTCATAATTTTAATTTTGATAGTTTCTGCCAAATTGTCCTTGAATAAGACTGTGCCAATTTACACTCCTATTAACAGTGAATAAGAAATTCTGTTTTCTCACACTGGATGTTATGGAAATTTAAAATATTTGCCAGTCTGGTGAAAAAATACAATCTCAATGTTGTTTTAATTCATATTTCCTTAATTACTAGGGAAGTGGAACATATTTTCTGATGTATGTGACCATTTGCACTTCTTTTTCTTTGAATTGCCTCTTTTTCATTTCTTAATTTTAAGTGGGGCTTATTTTATTTATCTTTTTATACATTGCATATATTAAGCCTTCATCTGTTATATATTTTGCAGATATTGTCTCTTAATCTCTTCCTTGTCTTTTAATATTGTTTTGCCATCTTTCCCAGTAAAGCAGTTAACTCATTTTCATATGGTAAAATCTGTCATAATTTTAATTTTTGTCTTGTGATTTTCCTCCAGTTTTCTATTTCATAATTTTATAGGTTAAAAATGTTTCAACATGTAAGCTATGTATAACCTAACTTCTCTATGTGGTGTGAGAAGAAATTCTAAGTTTGTTTATTCTTTCTGAGTAGCCACTTGTCTCGGTTCCAAAAGTGAGGAGTGTGTCCCCCTCAGGAAGTGTCTCCATTACGATGTGCTAAAATTGTGTGTGCGTGTGTGTGTGTGTAACCCACACATATAGTTTTAGACTTTATTTCCTCCAAGATCTGTTTGTTTATTCCTATATTAATGTGACATTGTATTAATTACCAAATTAATGATTAAAATAGTTATTTGTAATAATTCAAATAATTATTATAAACATAAGTGTAATTTAAAACTGCAAAGTCACATTAATTACTGTATGTAATATTCTGACAACTGATAGGAAATATCTCTTTTACCATTATTTCTCAAAAATTTCACAGCCAATCTTGTATTTTCTCCCCCAAATTAGAGTGTAGAGCTTCTTTACAACTATTTTTGGGGGGGGATTTTGATTGGGGTTGTTTTGTACTTTCATGTTAGTATGGGGAAAATTGATCTCTCTATAATATTGTGTCTTGTGGTCAAGGCTCAGAGAGTGACTACTCCCTCACTCAGGCCGTTTTCAAGTTCCTGCAATAAGTGCTTATATTTCTCTTCATATAGCTCTGCATACTTCTTGTTAGATTTATTTTCAGGTATTTTAAAGTTCTATTGTGATAATAAATTATATATTGTTTTTCTATTGCACATAAACATTGCTTATTGCTTATGGACCTTTCATTATATTTGGGGAGGGACTTCAAATAGTTTCACAGTTGATTCTTTCTAAATTTTTGATAGACATTCGAATATAATGACAATTATTAGTTTTCATAGTTTTCCTCCTGAGATGTCCAGGTATGCAGCAATTTTTTTGATGTATCTTATTAGTTTTTTATTTTTCTATTTCCTTGGATAAGCCAAGGTTCTTTGGCTTCCAGATTCTGTTATTTTAAGCAGAAACATTCACTCACAGGCTGGACCCGAGGCCAGAACAAGGCTGAGGTGAGTGAAGCAGTTTCCTCAGAAGCCAAATTTAGGGTGGTGCTAAAAATCTCAGTAATTGAGATAAATAACACTTTAATGCAATTTTTAAGAAAATATATATTTTTTTAAATCCATGATGGACAAAATACCAAAAATTTAAATAAAGTTAGGATCAGTATGGAGAAGCAGGCTCTGGAAAAGCCAGGAGCCAGGCAAATGTGGAAACCACAGTAGCAGCTTCCAATGACAGCTTTATATTGGCTGCCAATGGGATGGATAAACTTTGAGAAAGAGACTGGAATCCTTGACCGGGGGAAAGTAGGGACCTTCCATTGACTGTCAAAGATGCCACATAATGGGGTGATTCTCCAAAAGGAAACAGGGGTACAGTTGCCAAATTCAACAATTGTCTACCATGTTACAGTCCCAGGATGCACTGTTCTTATGGACCCCATCTTTAGCTGAAACCACAGACCTCCACATGTTAGGGCCACACCTCCCTTGAGGTCATGTCCCAATGTGCCAGTCCTCCTTTACTTCCTGCTCTACTATCTACTCAGAGCTGCAACCCTCACATGGATAAAACCCTCACATAGCATAAAAGACATTGATAAAGAAACTTTGGTGGCTTCAAAGAGCACCGTCTGTTGGAAAGGGAATGGCAACCTACGTTCTGTTTTGAGCAAACCCTGTGGGAAAGGCCAGAACCTCTTCCTTCCCAAATGGGTTGTTCTGCTTCAGGAGGAAAAGTATGTTTTGTCGCTCATTGTTTCTCAGGTCCATAGGCCTCGTTAGGATGGTGAGAATTCGTCTCAAAAATATTGACTACTTAACCTTAATGTTTAGTCATGTGATTATCTTCATTGGCATTTTAACGCACATTTAAGTGGATTACATTTACTATAATTATTGATAGGGTAGGTTTTATTCTACCATCTTTCTATTTGTTTTCTATCTTTTCTGTTCATCTATTCCTTTATTACTGCCTTCTTTTGGTTAAATGGGTATTTTCAAGTGTACCATTTAATTACCTTGTTGTTTCTTTTGCTATATATTTTTTTACTTATTTTCTTAGTGGATGTCCTGGAGATTACAATTAGCATTTTAACTTAATATAGGTTGGATTAATACTTTTTTTCAATAGTATGTAAAATTTTGCTCAGGGTTCCAGTGTGATTCCCATTAAGGATCCCTTGTTTCTGATGAATTGCTTTTCTCATGCTTCTTTCAAGATATTTTCTTTGACTTTGTCTGTTAACAGTTTGATTGTGAGCTATGTAGGTGTGACTCTTTGGATTTATCCTACTTTACATTTGTTGGGCTCCTCAAATGTGTAGATTAATGTGTTTCTTCCAACTGGGAATTTTGGGGCTATTATTTTTTCAAATATAATTTTTTGCCCTTTTTTTTTTGTCCTTCTAAGACTCCCCGACGTGTATGTTGGTATGCTAGCTGATAGCCCACAGGTCTCTGAGACTCTGTTTATTGTTGTTCATTCTTTTTTTTTTTCTGTTCCTTAGACCGAAGAATCTCCATTGCCTCATCATTGGGTTTGTTGGCTGTGTCATCTGCCAGTTCAATTCTGCTACTGAGCCCTTCAATGAAGTTCCTGCTTCAGGTATTGTGCTTTTCCACTCTGTGATTTCATTTTGGGTCTTCTTTTATAGTTTCTCACTGTTCATAGCCTCTACTTGGTGAGACCTCATGATCATACTCATCCTTTTCTTTAGACATGGTCTCCTTAGTTCTTTGAATATATTTATAATATCTGATTTAAACTCTTTGATAAGTTCTAACAGCTGGGTTTCCTCAGGGAACTTACCCACACATGTCTACTGACTATATTTTTTCCTGTGTAAGGGTCACACTTTCTTATTTTTGTGTGTCTTGTGGGGTTTTTTGTTGTTGTTGGGAAATGGACACTTTAAGTATTTTAAAGTAGGTCTTCTGAAAATCCACCCCCCATCTCCTCCCCCTGAACCCCACCCCAGGTGTATTTTTGTTGTTGTAACTGCTCTTGGTTTTTAGTCTGTTTCCTGGACTAATTCTGTCAAGTCTGTATTCTTTTTTATGTGGGGCCACTGAATTCACTGCTAGAGATTTAGTGGTCAGCTAATGATTAGTTAGTTTAGTGGTCAGCTAAAGATGAGACAGAATTTTGTTTAAATGTCTTTAGCCGAGAATTCCCCCTGCCTTTGCCAATGGATTCTGTGTGTTGGGGCACACCTTCAGTACTCTGACAGTTTACAACTCTGCCTTAGCCTTCACTTCCTGCTTGTGTAGAGCATCAAGATTAGCCCAAAAGGAGAGATTAAAGTCCTCTCGAGTCTTTCTTGAGCATTCGCCCAGCCCTGCACCTATGTGGGGCTTTCTAGATTCTCAGGGATATATTGGAAATTTTCAAGGTCCTGTAAGAACATCTTATTCCCCATATTTTCCTTTCATATTTTTTTTTGGTCAGCCTCTTATTTTCCCCAGCTGTTATGTGCCTGAGGCAGCTGCTTGTTTTTGACAAATACCCTAGGGACAGAGTTGTTCTCACTAAGGGAGATCAGAATTAGGTCAAATATGGACAAGCCCTCAGAACAGGGTTTTTCTAGGGAGCTGCCAGACCAAGTAGTGACAAATCTTGGGGGATGAGCTTTGGGGGAAGCTCCAAACTCATTCTGCCCACCTTCAGTGACTACTAAGGTGCTGGCTGTTACAGCCATAATAGTTGGTCATTCTCAAGTCTACCTTGGATCTGGATAGAAGGGGATGGGAGTAGGGCAAGTTAAAACATCACAAAATGCAGTTTGTGCTAAGCAGAGTAAGGTCCCTCACAAAAAGTTCGTGTTCCAATTCCTGAATCTTGTGAATATGTTACCTTATATGGCAAAAGGGACTTTGCAAAAAAAAATAAAAATAAAAAAAAAATAAATAAAAATAAAAAAAAAAAAGGGACTTTGCAGATGGGATTAAGATAATGGACCCTGAGATGGGGAAATTATTCTGGGTTATCTAGTTGGTCCCAATCTAATTACGTGAGTTCTTAATAGCAAAGAATTTTTCCCACCTGTCATCAGAGGGAGATAGGACCATGAAAGAAGGATCAGAAAGATGCAGTGTGTCTGGTTTTAAAGAAAGAATGGGGGCCATGAGCCAAGGAATGTGGGTTGGAAAAAGCAAAGAAACAGGTACTCCTTTAGAGCCTCCAGAAAGGAATGCAGCCCCATTGACACCTTTGATTTTAGCCCACTGAGACCTGTATCAGACTTCTAACCTACAAAAGTGTAAAATAATAAATTTTTGTTGTTTTAAGCCTCTAAATTTACGGTAATTTGTTACATCAGCATAGAAAAACAAATGTACTGTTATTACTGAGATTCAGCCATTTAAAAAAATAACACTCCTCAATGTTGTAAGCATTTGGTCAATATCCAGATTTCTGAAAAAGTTGATTTTGACAGTTTTTTTCCAGTGTTTTCATTGCCTTTATAAAGGGGTGGATTTTTAGACGTCTTTACTCTGCCATTCTGGAAGAGCTTTCCCCCAGTTCCTTCTGGCATCTGGTATTGCAAATGAAAATCAGATTTTTGTTGCGCTGTGGATATGGTTTTTTTTTTTCTTTTGGGAAGCTTTTTAGACTTTCGCTTGACTGTTCTGAATTCACTACATTGTGACTAGATTTGCAAGTTTTGTTTGCTTTTAATTCATTCTGCTAAACATTTGGTAGAGACTTTCAATTTAAGAACTCAAATCTTTCTTACATTCTGGAAAGTTATCTTTTTTATTTACTTAATAAATGTTCTTTTCATTCTTGCTCATCTCTCTTTCTGGATTTCCTACTAGATAAATGTTAAACTTCTAATATGTAGAAGATATATTATGTATGTCTCTTAATTATTCTTTCTGTCCTTTATTTTTTCCCTCTTGTACTATATTTAGGGAAATCTTCATTTCAATTTTCTAACTCTCTCATTAATTCTTCAGCAGTATACCTTGTTCTGTTTTGCCCATGAATTGAATTTAAATTTCAACAAGCAAGTTTTTAATTCCTGTGATATCTAGATGATTCTTTCTTATAGACACAATACTTTTTTTGCCATTCTGAAGATAATACATATAAAAGTCCAGTACTGGAGCACTGGGTGGCTCGGGCGTTAAGCATCTGTCTTTGGCTTAGGTCATGATCGTGGGGTCCTGGGATTGAGCCTCACATTGAGCTCCCTGCTCAGCGGGAAGCCTGCTTCTCCCTCTCCCACTCCCCTGCTTGTGTTCCTGCTCTTGCTGTCTCTCTCTCTGTCATATAAGTAAATAAAATCTTAAAAAATAAAAATAAAAAAGAAATAAAAAATAAAAGTCAAGGACTGGTTCTTCTCTTAATTTTATTTTCTCCATTATAAATTCTTTTTTAAAATTTTTATTAATTTATTTATTTTAGAGAGAGAGAGCATGCATGAGCAGGGAGAGGGGCAGAGGGAGAGGAGAGAGAATCTCAAGCAGACTCCCAGCTGAGTGTGGGGCCCAATGTGGGGCTCGATCCCACGACCCTGAGATTGCCTGAGCCAAAATCAAGAGTTGGATGCTTAACCGACTGAACCACCCAGGTGCCCCCATTGTAAATTCTTCTATGCATTGTGTTTAGTGTATCTTTCTTTGTGTTACCTTTCCCAAGTGTTTGGTGATTTTTAGATGTGTGTTCCTTTAAGCAGCCTTTGTAGGAATGGGCTAGGATTCTTTGTACTACTGCTTGTTTAAAGTGACATCAAGATAGGAAGCCTGAGTTAAAGGAGGATGGATATAGCCCGTCTTCGTGGGCTTTGCCACTCACATGGGACACTGCCCTCATTCTCTAACACAAGCTGCCACATTCACTGATCTTGCCTCAAGGCAGATTTCCATGTTACTGCTATGTACAAATGCTACAAAGGGGTAAAAGGTGGAAGACAGCTGTATTTCACTCATGCTTCCTGATACAGTATTATCTGTTACATAATGGTTTATAACTCTTATTCCTGCTATGTAAATTATAATTGCTACCAATATAAAGTTACCCTCTTATTTCTATTAGTTGACTGTTCTACTTTATCTAATACTGACATTTCTCCATGACTTCCTTTTTCTTAGCCTTTGCTTGATATATCTCAACTTTCCTTTAATTTTCAAAGTTTCCAAGGTACCTTCCTTTGTATGTGTCTTTGGTGGAGAGAATATCATTGAGGGTTTTTTTTTATATTACAGTATGAATATTATGTCTTTAATAAGGAAATTCAATCCAGGTCCAACATTTCCAAGTGTTGACTTTATTTGTATGTTTGCCACTGTAAGAATGTCTGTCTTTGAGGGCACTCAACAAATATATGTTAAATGCATGAAAAATTTATGATATTCAGGTTTCACGGCTTTCTCTCTTTCAGTATAAACATTTAAAAATTTCCTCTTATCTTCTGTAGACATCTTGTTTATAATTTTACTAGTAGTTAATTGTGGGTTTTAAAAAATATTCTATTTATGTGTATGTTCCCAAGCTTTATTAGGCATTTGTTTATACTGTAATCACAATCCTGAAATATCTGAATGATTTTCAACTCCATAGCAGACTATGAACAATAACTAGCAGTCTGCATCTGAAAGGTAGAGAGTAAACAGAAGAATCTGCTGGATACAGCAGCAAAAAGCCAGGACCAGACATCTTGTGTTTTAACAATGCAACTGAAGTTTATAAAACTAACTCCTATATCAAGAATAATCCATATAGTATGTTAACAATAAAGGAATTACTTATACTTCACAGAAAGATCACTTCTAAAATAAGTTAAATTTCAGAGAAATGTTTGAGAAATTAATTGTGTAAGATTCAATGAGCTAATGCATTCATTATGTAGAAATGCCTCCAATGTCCTAATTATATTGTATCAGCTACCTGTTTGGGTATTTTTATTAATTTCATGTGTACAGAATCTTATTTTAAACTGACTTGATTTGGGCTCTGTTATTTATCTCTAAACTCCATCTTTTGCATGTATAAAAAATTGGAGGATGTTAATACCTAATAGGGTACTAATATGGATTATGTTGAAAATTGAATGAAATAATCCATGTAGAGGCATTTGGCACAAAGCCTGGCATCCATTACCCCCACCGCTTACTAGGTATGTGACCTTGGGAAAGTTCCTTAACCTTTCAATGCCTAGATTTATCATCCCTAATATGGGGATTATAGTAGTTTTTACCACACAGATTTACCATAAAGAGCTTAGAGCAGAGCCTGGTACATCCTAAGTTCTCAGTCATTGCAAGCTATTATTAGTATCTGAACACAGTGAGGGCTACAACATACATGCTCTGGCAGCAACAATGAGAGAGGAGAGTATTCTTTATGCACACCGATCAAGGAAGCAATAGTTGTGATATGGTCCAAAGAGTAGAGATGGGCTTGAGTCAGAAGGCTGGGGTCCAAGTCCAGGTCCACTGCTTGGCTATGGAACCTTCCCAAACTCTTGGTATCTACTTTTGTATCACAGGGAAAAATACCTAATACACATTTGATATGGGAATTATAAGATTTGTCATGTATATGAATGTTCTGTAATGTAATATCAAAACTGTACCATAGTATCAGTTACTATC